ACTTGTTGAAAAATACCCAAGTGTATTTACGGATGGTCTAGGCTTATGCACTGTTGCTAAGGCTGAATTGCAGCTAAAAGCCGATGCACAGCCAATTTTTCTGCCATTCCGACGTGTCGCATTCTCGATGGAATCAGCCATTGAAAAGGAAATTGAACGTCTCGTTGATTTGACTGTTTTGAAACCAGTCACCTACAGCGAATGGGCGGCTCCGGTCGTTCCAGTCAAGAAGAAGGACGGTTCATTGCGACTTTGCGGTGATTTTTCTACCGGCTTGAATGATGCGTTGCAAGATTACCATCATCCTCTTCCCACAGCGGAAGAAATTTTCACCAAGCTCAACGGTGGACAAGTGTTTTCCCAGATTGACTTGAAAGATGCTTACTTACAAGTCGAGGTTGAGGCTTCTAGCCAAGAATACCTGACAATCAACACACACAAGGGACTTTATCAGTATCAACGACTGATATTTGGTGTGAAAACAGCCCCCGGTATTTTCCAGAAAATTGTGGATAATTTGATCGCAGGCTTGGACGGTACCGCTGCCTACCTGGATGATCTGTTGATCACCGGCCGGAACCAGGAGGAGCATGACGACAGGGTACGTCAGTTGTTTGAGCGAATCGCAAAGTTCGGATTGCGCGTCAAAATGGAAAAGTGCACGTTCGGCCAGGCTTCGGTAAAGTATCTTGGCTTCATTCTCGATGCCCAAGGCCGAAGACCCGATGGCGAACGCACGGCTGCGATAGCAAATATGCCACGACCTACCTGCCTCAAAGAAGTTGAAAGCTTTTTTGGGCATGGTTTCGTTCTACCAGTCTTTTATTCCTCGTATGCGACAGTTGCGCGCCCCGCTTGACGAGTTGAAGAGAAAAGACGCAAAGTTTCTCTGGCGTGAGGACTGTGAACGAGCGTTCCAGTCGCTCAAGGAAATTGTAATTTCCGATTTGTTACTCTGTCACTATGACGCCAAGTTGCCGATCGTCGTCGCCGCTGATGCCAGTGAGCAAGGCCTTGGGGCAGTCATTACCCACCGATTCGCTGATGGAACTGAAAAAGCAATCGCACATGCTAGCAGAGCATTGACTGTGGCAGAAAAGAACTATAGCCAGATTGAAAAAGAAGGCTTAGCCCTCGTATTCGCAATTCGGCGCTTCCACAGATACATCTACGGAAGGCGTTTTGTATTACTGACGGATCATAAGCCCCTTTTACCGATATACGGGTCGAAAAAAGGAATCCCACAACACACCGCAAACCGTTTGCAAAGGTGGTGTTTGCAATTGAACAACTACGATTTTTCTATTGAATATCGTAACACGACCAAGTTTGGTCAAGCGGATGCCCTTTCCCGTCTGATTCCGCCAAAATCGGATCCTGAAGAAGATGTCGTGATTTCGCAGATAGAAATCGACATTTCGGCCGTTTTTGAGGATAAATTGAGCCAAATCCCAGTTTCACACAAGGAAATTGCTGAGCAAACTGAACAGGATTATTCACTCAGCAGCGTGATTGACTCTCTGAAAAGTGGTTCTTTTCCAGACTGTTTGCCAGGCTCGTCGCTGTACGCCTACAAAAGTCTTGTAAATAACTTGTCAATTCACCGAGGCTGTTTGTTTCTGAAAGAGCGAGTTGTTGTGCCGAAAAGGCTGCAATCGCGAATCCTAAAAATGCTTCATGAAGGCCACCCGGGCCAAACGAGAATGAAATTGCTCGCAAAGCAATATGTGTACTGGATTGGCATGGATTCAGACATCGATCGCATCGTGAAAGAATGCGAAGGCTGTCAGAAAGCCCAGAAGATGCCTGTAAAAAGTGAATTGACTCCCTGGCCTACCCCAAATCGTCCAATGGAGCGCGTGCATATCGATTATGCCGGTCCGATTGATCAAAAAATGTATTTGATCGTTGTCGACGCTTACTCAAGATGGCCTGAAATCTTTGAGTGTAAGGTGGCAACAAGCCGAGTGACGATTGCCCAGTTGAGAGATGTTTTCTCCAGGTTCGGAGATCCGGAAACGCTCGTTTCGGATAACGGAACTCAATTCACTTCCAAGGAGTTTGAAGATTTCTGTAAGGAACGTGGAATTAACCATATTCGCACGCCACCGTTCCATCCCCAGTCGAACGGTTTGGCCGAACGTTTCGTCGATACCTTCAAGCGCGCTTTGAGCAAAGCCGCTGGTTCGACTAGCGCTGAAACTTTGCAAATTTTTCTGCGAACTTATCGGTCCACCCCTTGCCCATCTTCACCAGAACAGCTATCTCCGGCTGAAAGGTTTATCGGGAGAAAGCTTGTTACTCCCATTGCTCGCTTGCGTCTGCCCCAGAGCAACAGCAATACTAGTGCGAATCTCATCTTTCCGAAGGGGGAGAAGATGAAGATGGTTGAACAGTACAACCGGAAGCACGGCGCAAAGAAGCGTTCCTACGAAATCGACCAGACCGTCTGGGTTCGAGATTACAAAATCCCTAGCAAACCTGTCTGGGTAGAAGGACGTATTTCTAAATTGTGTGGAAAGTCCATGTACGAGGTTGAAACTACCTCTGGAGTCGTTTGGCGTCGACATGCCAACCAGCTACGGGCTCGATTCGTTCGAGACGTACTCGATGATATCCTGGAAGAGTTCGATCTTGCCAGCGATGATAAAGTCAATGTGCAGGACACTGCTCCACCTCTTGACAAGCCTCTCGCGAAGTCAGCCGCATCATCCGCCAAAACTCCTACATTGATTCCCCTTGCACCTGTTCCGAATGTTCCCCATCCCACCGCTCACCGGCCGACAACAACACCAAAGTCGCCACCGAAGTCGCATCCACGATCGCCGGCAAGATCACCAGCCGTGCCGCGACGACCTCAAGTTGAACCGCCCGAAATCGCTGCTCAATACCCGCAATTTGAACAACTCGATGACGTTGTTCAACAACCACAAGGACGCGACGACGAACCTGAAGTTCGTCAACAAGATCAAGCACAACCTGTGAAGAAGACAAAGAAGACTGATGCCCTTGGACCGATCTTTCACCACAAGCGCATCCGGATCCGCCGCCGTCGCGCCGTCCGCCGTCGCGATATCAAGATTGAAGTGCCGTCAACGTCGTCTCTGTCAAGCTCAACTTCATCATCAAGTCAAGCTCTTCATTCAAGGAGGAAGATGTTGCGGAGGCAAGAAAGAAAGTCTTTGATCCAATTACGCGATGCCTGTACGGCGCACCCCTTTGCACTACGCCCTGTGTGCGCCCTCCCCGTCCCCCGGCACAAACCCCATTTTTGTGCGTGTCTTTTTCATTCCTTCCACTTCGCCCGTCTTGTCCGGCTGCTTGTGTTTTTAGGCTATTGCCGTTATCGTAAATAAATACTTTGTCCTCTCTTCTTTCGTCATATCAATTCAGGTGTCAAACGACTCTCTCGCAAGGTATTCCCTTGGAGTGAGCCAGCACTCAAGAACTCACGCACAGCCACACCTACAACAATTGCTAACAGGTTGGAATAGGAGAAAAAAATAAAAAGACCGCCTTGTTGAAATCCCCCCCTGCTAACAGCCCAGTACCGCTTTAATTCGGATTTTTCTCGTGAATTTTCATTTCTGAGAGCCCCTCCCCGCGCTGCCAAGGCGAAAACAATTTCAAAAATCCCCGCGGGCCCTGGCGCGGATTTGTGACCCGTGGGGGCCAAGGCCTGATTAACCGCCAACGCCCCATCTCATGCAAAAAGTGCATCGCCCGGATACGGTAATACACGTGGGGATTTTGACGAGTTAATCAGCGTAACCATGGGTGTGCCCGTGTGTTTTTTTGTGTGTGCGAAAATCCGCGTTCTTTTCTGGGAGTCGGAATTTTGGTATTCTTTATCGGGGGTGGGGTTTCACACCAGAATCGGTTGACTCAACGTTTCAAAATAAACGAAAGATAGACAAGTGACACTAGCTGAGGTTGGGGGACGGGTTTTTCGATTGAATTTCGAGTGGTTTTAGGTGACTAAATTGGAGCTGGACAAGATGCAGCGGCAGGGGCGGTAAAAAATGGAAAAATAACGATTTCGGTGCTGTTCGGAACATAGAAAATAGGGTAATTTTGGCAAAGGGTAATTAGTGTAGTTTAGGGTTTTTAGAAAACGTTCTCGTATATTTTTTTCAGGGTACGCCGCAGTACTGAGAACGTTTCCTGCACGCGGTCGGGACAGCCACGCTGGGCTTTTTGGATGGCTGCATGCTGCAGCAGCCGCGAGTATCACAGGGCAAAGGCCAGCGACGGCAATACGGAATCAGAATTGGATGCGGGTAATTGGATTTAGATAATTGTACGTCGGGATATTCATCAAATCCGGGGGACGGGATATTCAGCGGGTGTATGCGGGTCAAGGAATAAGAGTGGTGCGTAAAAATACCTCTATCTACCGCATGGGAACGTCGGATTTGAATGGTTTTTCTAGCATTTTAAAGCCTAGATAATGGCGCGAATTTTAGCATTATTATATTTTATTTTTTAATTTAATCTTTGAATTTTTAGGCACGTTTCTTAGTGATCAAGTTTTGAGTGGAACGAGCTTTTGAGCGTTCTGAAATGCGCTTTAGATCAAGATTTTTGAAAAGAAACCCAACTTTTTAAATGTTATAAAACTCGCCTTTTTCTGACCTTTCAAATGTTAGAAAATGTATACAAATCCGAATTGCCTAAGCCGAGATATAGAGGCGTTTTTGGGACGCCGTTTAGCAGAGAGCAGAGCATATTTGTAGAGGCACACGTTTGGAAAATAAAAAGGGTGTCAAAATGTAAATTTTGCGATCGATTTAGAACAATTAAGAGTAGCTCGGGAATTTTTATCACAATTCAACAGGGTAAAAATAAGAGGGTTTTGTGCGATGGGGGGGCAAGGCAACTAGTATATAGGTTTTTCGAGGTCCGATTGATTTTGCAGAAGCGATTTGCACAGCGTCGATGTGTGCACGCGATTCCTATGTACATGCGGGTGTACAAGTCGCGCGACAGTGTACGGATCATCGGACGTTGAAAACGCTAAAGCATGTCGGATCAGAACGGGTCTCGAAAAGAATGGCAAGAAATCCGGGGGGATGGCAAGGGGGAGATTGAAGCAAACGAAATGTGTGTTTGTGGAAAACCGGGTGAGCATGGGGGGTGTGAACCGGGGGGAGTGGGGGAGGGAGAAATAGAATTTCCACGCACGCACAAGCTCCACGACAAGGGGGGCACCAGGGGTGTTTTTTGCAGGTTTTTTATGTCGCATTTTGCTTTTTTAAGAATAAATTATCCATAATTTTAATTCAAAAACTTAAAACTGATTTTTCAGGCCGAAAATTATTTCAAAACCCGGTCAGCTAGGCATTCTTAGGGTTTAAAAATTATTTCTTTTTGGGTAGCATGCAACCAGTCCAAGCAACAGAACGTCATTAATGCGTCTAAAGGGGCAGGAACCGGCTGTAAATTTCTGTGGCTATGGATTCACATGAATTTTTCGCCCCGCGACACGCGACGCAAACGCCGCCCAAGCGTGCTGAACGGGCGCTAATTGATTACGCAATGAAAAGACGGGCGTGAAAAACCAAAACTAAAACCAGAAAAATCCTTAGTTACGGCTTTTAAGTCCCTTTAAAGGGACCGGAAGCGCGATAACCCACCCCTTCCATCCGCTAGGTCTCGACAGCTACGCGTCACTCCAAAAACCGCCGGCAAGTGAGTAACGATAAATACGATAAATTGGCCTCTCGGGCATTTTTTGCGTTTCGCGTAGCTGTCGTGGCCTAATAGATTTTTGGGGTCGATTTTGCGCGCTTCAACGCCCCTTTAGACGCATTAATGAAGTAGTTGTAGGATTTTTAGACAATAATGTCCCATTAATTCGATTTTTTTAGAAAATGCGTGCACGAACACAATTCGGCCATGCTTGCAAACGATCGTCTATGCAGTGTCGACTACGCTACGTTCCTACGTACGCGGTGCTCCTTTTCCCCCTCAACCCTTCAGCATCATCACGACACACCGCCAACTGTACGAACAGAAAAAAATAACCGAACGTCGGGCGTAGTTAGTACAGTCGCGGAACGTCAGGAAGAAGGAAAAAAGCGGGGCGGCTACCTTATACCCTGGTGGCCCGGTGGTGGAGCGTGTAGATGAGGGGGGGGCGGGAATGGGCAAGGAGGGACAAGTGCATTTGCGGGGGGGGGGATAGCCAAGGCGAAACACACGAATCTCTAACCGGGGGGTTGTGACCAGTAATTCTAGCGGATTATGCTCGGAAAATGGGGGGAACCGGGGGGAGTTTGTAGCTTGTCGTTGAACTCGTGGCGATTGTATCAGAGTCTGAAATAAGCATCGATTTTCAGATAGAAAGCTTAGATTAAAATGTAATAGAATTTCATAGATTTAGAGGGACGTAACGTGGAAAGTACGGTTTCATATTTTTAAAGGACCGCGCAAGGCAGGCTATGGATTTTCCGCTTTCCGCGTCGCGACATGCAACGTCTCTGCCCGCGTTTCATTGCGTAATCGATTCCGATGACTAATCGCGGCGTACGCTTTGCTTGTCGCGGCCGCGGAAAATAAAACTCCATGGTTACGGCTTGCCGGTCTCTTTACAAATTTATTCCAGTACTTAAGACTCCAATTTACACCCCATTTCAAAGGTATGGATATGGATTTTCGGATTGGGTTTACTGTATTTACTCGCCGTAAATACTTTGATCCGTTACGGAACATAAAGGCCGCCCTGGCAAAATCCATAGCCGAAAAAAATCCATAGTCTGCCTTGCTTGTCCCTTTAAAACCATCGCAGCTCAATGAGGCCAAAAATTGGCAATTTTCCAGCCGATTACGCGGTCTAATGGCGGGAGAAACCCAGGTAAAATTTAGTCGCGTAACCGGTTGGCTTATTGCCAATTTTCGTGGATTTTTGCTTTACATCACAGTACAAATTATGCCCTATTTTTAGACCTACAATACTAACTATACTTATACTTTTCAGAGCGTATCGCTTGGTGTGTACTTTCCAGATTTCGCCGGGCCTACCCCAGGTGAGGAGGATGAGGAGGAGGACGAGGGGCCATTAGTGCGGCGTGAGAGAGGGAGAGCAAGCAGGGAGAGCGAGCGCGTGTGTGTGTGTGAGAGACAGCCCGTTCAGCTGTGGGACAATACCCTAAAATGTGCTTGTTTTTTTGGGGAATCCTAGCCGACGATACGGTGGCTGGGCCGTGTTTTTGCGGACGGCGCAGGTTTTTCTTTTTTGAAAAACGCTAATCTACAAAAGTTAAATTAAAAATATATGAAATGAATCGTAAAAATGTCGTTTTTAAGGGACGAGCAAGGTATGGATTTATGGATTTTTGGCCTATCGATTCCCTACGATTTTTTCCGCGCCGCGACACGCAACGGTCGCCATTCTTCGACATTTCTGCGTCGTAATCGATTATGCAATGAAAAGACGAGTGTCTGCGTTGCGCGTCGCGCAGGCGGAAAAATCGATATAAAATCCAGACTAAAAAACCGGGTACTTTTGCATTATCGGGGGATGGCTAAAACACAAATAAAATCGATTTTTCATCCGAAATTTCGACATTTTTAGAGTTTTTAGATAGTTTTCCACTGGAAATAGCGTTAAATTTTATCAAAAATGGTATTAAAATACCTGCCATTACGTTACTAGTGATTTATGGGCTTATAGAACAAATTCGGTCCCCCTGATAATGCACAAGCACCCAAAATCCATATCCATGCCTTCCCGTCCCTTTAAAGTACTTTCATGCGTCGACTACGCGACACTCCGCGGCTGTACACCTCTAGCAATATGCGTTGACGACAATTCTAGCCATCCGCAGCTCGCACAACCACTTTTCAACCGGGTTCTAGCCGAATTTGCGTGTTTTTTTTGTGTTTCCGGACAAACTAGAATTCCCCAAGCAGTTATGGTGACATTTAGAGGACGCGAGACGATTTTCCGAGCGTTTTTCAGGGTGATAACTCCGTAAAATTACTGGTCCCGTTGCTGGGGTTGTTGGCAAGCAATAATAATCAAAGACACACATGCTCTCCGGGCCCCCAACACAAAAAACCGGGGACGGTATGCAGGTTAGAAAAATAAAAAAGGAATTTAAGGTATTTATATGGGTTCGGCCGATCGAAAATTGGCAATTGGCCAACCGGTTACGCAATGAAAAGTCACCCGTCGTTATCGTGTTTCTACCGCGTAGTCGATTGGAAAATTGTCAAATCTGAGCCGGCTTGAACTTTTAAAGGAGCCGGCAAGGCTGGGCTAGAGATATGTAAAAAATTCGAAATTTTTTCCAACAACTATTTTTGTATTTTTTCATAAAACTCGAAAGTTCCCCCGATAACGCAAAAGCTGCGGTTTTCTATGCTTCTGAATTCTGAATTTTTCGCCGTCGCGACACGCAACGCGCACGCCTCGCCTGATGACCCTGCCAAAGTCGTAATCGATTACGCAATGAATAGACCAGGAGCAGTCGCGTTGCGTGCCGCGGGGCGTACGGCAAAATCCATAGAAACCCATGTCTTGCCGGGCCCTTTAACTTCGATAAATTTCTGCAAAAACAAACCGTGGCACGTTGGGGGCAGACGGATAATCCGCCGCCGCGTTCGCGCGCCGTGTTTGCACTAATGGGAAAGAAGCCTAAAAATGGACTTTTCACTTGAATTTTGGTTTTTAATTTTAGTTTTATCCTTTAACATTAAACCTTAATTTTTAGGTGTTAATGACACACAGAGAGAGCGGGCTGGTGGGGGGTGGTGTGACACTGGGACGTTTCTGTAGACGCACACAAAAAACGGGTGCATTTTCGAGACGTTCTCGCGAGATGGTGTGAGATTGATGGCGGTTCGCACGAAAATCTGGGACATTTTTTTAGCAAAACAGAAACTTCCCAGGGCCACGCGGAGGGAGGGCAGTTTTACGGGGGCAACCAAAACGGATCAGCGGATGGCAACGGTTTTGAAGAAAAATTATTTTTATCTTGTCAAATCAAACCAAAAATGTGATATTTTGCGTTCCTAAATTGTAAATTGTTTTTCCCTGTTTCGAAGCGTAAAAACGATACAATCCTTTTTTTAAATACAAAAATATCGATTATCGACGAAAAATGACGATTTTGGACGAAAAAGTTTTTTAGTTACTTTTTCTTTTCCAAAACGAACGAAAAATTTTCCAAAACGATTTTAAAACACCTACAACTAAGTTACTAGGCATTTCTGGACTTATAAAAAAAAAACACCCCCCTTAATGCCAAAGAACCGGAAAATTCATAGAAGATGCCTGGGGCGCCCCTTTAATAGCTCGAAAAATTCGGCAATTTTTAGAAAGGAGGGTTTAAATGACAATTCTTAGAAAGGTAAAATTGTTTTAAAAGTTTTAAACGTAAAAAATTCAGTTTTAATCCAAAAAACAATGCGAAAAATCTCCATAAATTTTGAAATCATAAAAGTCAAATTTTCTAGTTTAAAAATGATTAAATGCACTTCAAAACCGCTGCCATCATTCCCAGGGGGTTAGCGTACTTTCTCTCTACTTGCTCCTAGGGGGCAACCGATAGACACCTAATTGTAAGCGCTCGCATGCTTCATCATTTCCAAGTAGACACACACTCAAAAGACATGCCAAAAAACCAGGGGGACAATTGTTAAAAAAAAAATCGTAAAAACCCACGTATTGAGGACCATGTCTTCGAATTGATCCCGCTCCACCTGGCGCTCTTGTTTCTTTTTCAGCTCCGTGTCGTTGAACTTTTCGCAGAGCGAATCCTCGTCTCGGGGCTGGGATTTTTTTATTATATTTTAATTATGGATAAAAAAAATCAGAATTCGGAATTTTTTGTAAATTAGGAAAAGCTATTATTAAGGTTCTTTTAGATATTTTTAGTTACTTCCGGAAGCTAAATTTGATTTTTTTCATTTAGGAAAGACTCTTTCTTTACGTTTCAATCCTTCAATCCACAAAACCTTTTACCAGATTTCCGTTGCTTTTGCATTAGCGGGGGGTCATGAGGAAACGTAGTTTTTCTGTAGAAGCTCATAAATGCCTGGTGAGGTAAGATTACGTTTTTAATCAGTAAAACTTAACTAGATTTCAAGTGGAAAAACAATCCAAAATGTTTAAAATTCGAAATTTTTGTCGAAAAATCGATATTTTTGTATTTTATGATAAAAATAGGTCAGATTTTGGGTTTAAAAATAGCCCCCCCCCGATAACGCAAAAGAACCGGATTTTTAGAGATTTAAAATGGCTGACTCAATTTGCTACTTACCGCGACGAGTTTATCAAAAGTTGGCCACCACGGGGTCCCGTACAAAGCACTGTGATCACCATTGGCCGTCGCGGGTACCAATCTAAAAATAGAAAAATTAATATAAAAACCTAGATGAATAAAATTAAACTAATAAAATTAATCAAAAAATAACAAAATTTAAATTCACAGAATTAAATTACTAAAAAAACTGACGATGTTCTCAACGCCTGCATAAAAGCCTCTTCCTCCCACAACAGATACGCATCTGTATTGTAGAATTCGGTGCCTATTCGGCAGTTTTTCACTGAAAAAAATATTTAAGGAATAGTGGCTCAATTTCGATACCTAGATATTTGTCATAGAGCTCCTTCCCGGCTTCAGAATATCGTAGATTTGCTCTTCGGGCGTTTTGCCCGGGTTTGCTGGTGTTTGGGAATTCCTCTGGCGCGGATTGGTGCTCGTTGGTGGTCGTCGAGGCGACGACACCCGCCAGCCACATCGTTAGCGTCAATCGGAACACCACGCAACGTATCTGGAATTATACATTCTTGATTTAAACTTAAAATATTATAAACGGCTACGAAAACTTTTTAAAGTCAAAATTTGGACGCAGACCGGCTGATCCTGGTCGAAAAATCGATATTTTTTAGGTGATTTTCTATAATTTCTAAGCAAAGCTCATTTGCATTTAATAATACTAAGAACGTTTTAGAAAGACTTTTTCCATTGATATTACCCCTCCCCCCGATAAGGCAAAAGCTGCAAAAAAGCACGCAAAAGCACACTTACATTGCTCGTCGTCGGTTCTGATTTCATTCTGGCGCAGCAGCCACGGCGCCGCCTTCACCGATTCATGTATGGGGGGCTGGAAAAGCTGGTGATTTTTGTTAAAATTAAATAGGAATAATCACAAAAGACAAAACAATGAAAAGGAAATCAATATTTGTATACCTCCAGCTCTGGCAAGCTTCTTAAACCGGAAAAAAAGCGTTTAAAAACAATTAAATCCAATTTTCTGTAAAATTTTCGCTAAAAAACGTTAGAATTCATTAATTAAGGCCAGTTTGAAGGCCCTATTTTCACGCCATAACCTGATAACCAATTTCCGGGCACTTAAAAACGGAACAGCCGGTTATTACGGGCCGCAGAGGCCGCCTGGCTTAATGGCCGGAAATTAGGGGCCCAGGAAATGAACGTTGGCCCCCGGAAAAACAACAAAAAGAATGGCAGACTAAATAAACAATCGAGGAATAGAGTTTTGCTTTGATTTCGAGTTGAAATAGGTGCATTTTAAGGCTGCGAATCGCGGGGTTTTGCGTGGGAGGGCGTGGGAAAAGGTAAAAAGACGAAAAATAAAGGTATTTTCGGACAAATAAAGTGAAAACGGGGTTGGAAATGATGATAAAAAGTGTTAGACAATTGTATGAAAGTAAGATTGCTTAGAAACAGAAAAATCATACTTCAAAACTTAAGAAAATAGTTTAGAGTACCATTTTTAGGCGTTTTTCAATCGATTTTTGGAGCGCGAGCTAGGAAAATTGATATAACACACTTATAGATACTTATTATCGGTATATTTAGCATAAAAAAAATTATTTTATATGCAGAAAAAGCATACTTTAAAACGTAAGATCAAAGTTTAGAGATCAATGTCTGCCAACTTTTAACCCCGTTTCTCAGGAGTTCGTCTAAATACCTATATTACGTAACAATCCTTTTTGCAAAGACATACGCCAGTATAATTTGTTAAAAAGACGGCTTATAAGCCAGTTTTTCGCGCTTTTCAACCCGATTTTGCAGAAAACGTCTGTATTTTGATTTGTCTACAGCATACCCCCAAGGTTTTCAAAACACGCTAGCGCGAGTCAAAGCATAAGCGCTTTTCCGGGTCAAGGCCGGCGCTTCAACAATCCCCCGAAAAGGCCAGAAAATGTAGTACAAAAATTGGGCGGGCAGCCAGCTGGCCCGATCAGCAGATTGGAATCAGGAGGGAGAGAGGAGAGAGAGAGAGAGAGAGAGAGAGAGAGAGAGAGAGAGAGAGAGCAAGTGACTTAGCGAGGGGGTAGAGACATGACGAAGGCAAGAAGATAACTGACATGCATGGAACGATTCGTGGGGAGGTTGCGAAGCGGGGGCTTGTTTTCGACGCGGAGGGGGAGGGGGGAAAGCCTGGCGGGAATCGATTCGACTCTGGGCCTTTTCAGTGTCTCGCCGTCAGGGGTCTCTCCCTCTCTCACGCTCTCTCACCGCGTTCCCGTTTCGCAGCTGGGGAAAGGGATTTCAGTCTCTGACTGACTGGGTTCTCTGGACCCGTCGCTCTCTCTCTCCCTCTCTCTCTCTCTCTCTCTCTCCCTCGGTCTCTCTCTCATATGGGCTGGTTGAATCCGGGGTAAACACGTGGGGGGTTCGACTTGAAGGGCCAGGTGGTACGGTCGGGCCAGCTGGCGGCTTTTAGGAGGGTAAATGGCGGTAAATTTAGGTGTAATTAGGAAAAATGGGAATTTGGCAAAATGTGGATGTTGGTTACTGTAGAAACGAACATGATTGTTGAGCTGTGGGTCAAGATAATGCCTGGTAAGGCTTAGGCTCAGCTCAGGTCTGGTCCTGGCTTGCTCTTAGGCTTCCGCTTAGGCTTGGTTAAGCTTGTGTTAGGCCAGGCTTCGCTTGCACGTAGCCTTGGCTTAGACTTGGAGTTAGGCTTAGCTTAGGCTCGGCTTAGACTTGGGGTTAGGCTTGGCTTAGGCTCGGCTTAGACTTGGGGTTAGGCTTGGCTAGGCTTGGTTAGACTTGGGGTTAGGCTTGGCTTAGGCTTGGCTTAGACTTGGGTTTAGGCTTGGCTTAAGCTTGGCTTAGAATTGGGGTTAGGCTTAGGTTAGGCTTAGGCTTAGGCTTAGGCTTAGGCTTAGGCTTAGGCTTAGGCTTAGGCTTGGCGTATTCTCAGGTTTAGGCTTAGGCTGGGGCATAGGATTAGCTTGTAACTAGCTTGGGCTAGGCTTATTGTTAGCTTCTGCGTAAGCTTTGGCTTAGCCTGCTTGTAAGGCTTAGGCTAGTCTTAGGCTTAGGCCTTGCTTAGCTTTACTTTGTTTAACTCCAAAAAAATTCTAAAAAAAAATCCCGGGCTACCGTACCCCGTGGATAGGTGTAGAGCGTACAGTGGACGAATATAAGTCGGTGGCACTTCGCAACACCGCCAATATTAGCCCCGGCTGATCCGTTGTTATGCATGTAAAGAGGAGTGTCATGGAATACAAAGGGGGGCGATAAATGAGGGGAAGGTAGTGGCAGAAATGAGGTAAACAAGGATTCTCGGGTTGGCCTCGAGCCAGAAAGTAGTTATCTCGCGTCGGGAGAAGAGAAGAAGCCGGCAATGCTAGAGTCTTTTTTGGGGGTTATTTTGGGGTGGAGAAGCACCAAAAAGGGTTCCATTTAATGGACTTTACGACACCTTTTTCTATCCAGGTTCTTTGGCATTATCGGGGGGGGGGGGAAACTTAATTTTCCTACAATTCTTGAAATTCCTAGCCAGATTATGTTAATTGTTTTAATAGCGATTCTAGCAAACAAAAAATCCAGAAATTAAAAATTTTGGCCGAAAATCGATATCCTGAGTATTTTTGAACAAAAATTTGTAGAAGTTTTCATTTAAATTTTGATGAAGCAAAATAATGGACGGTTTAATACGCCCTAAAACTTTATATTTCCGCGCAAATCCACGACTAAACCATTCAAAATACGCCCTCCTGGCCATCCGATGGACCGCCAGAATTTTTGATGAAATCGGACCTTCCCATAAATTGGTTAAAAACTTCTAGAAAAACATGTTTTGTCCCCGGCGAGAGAGAGAGACATAGAGAGAGAGAGAGAGAGAGAGAGAGAGAGAGAGAGAGAGAGAGAGAGAGAGAGAGCGTGAGCGTGAGCAAACTAGAGAGCGGGAGCGAGAGAAATGGTGAGTGAGAGCGAGAGTGAGAGAGAACCAGACGCTTCCCAATTAGTCAGAGTGGCCCTGAAATTCCTGAAAAAAATAAACGGGGTACCACCACGAGGGGAATTTTAGCGCGCATAATTAAGAGAGGGCTCAGACTCACCCAATTAGATTCAATTTAAAACAGTAACGAAAGTGCTCCACAAAATATGATATTTTAAAGGGGCTCGGACAGCAAAATTCTCCCTAATATTTAGGTTTTGTGGCCTAAAAAAATGGAAACGTCCGTTAGAATACCATCATGACGGGTTTTAGTCATCTTTCCTAAAAGTCATCTTTCCTAAAGTCATCTTTCCTAAAGTCATCTTTCCTAAAGTCATTTTTCCTAAAAGTCATTTTTCCTAAAAGTCATCATTCCTAAAAGTCATCTTTCCTAAAAGTCATTTTTCCTAAAAGTCATCTTTCCTAAAAGTCATTTTTCCTAAAAGTCATTTTTCCTAAAAATCAATATTTCTCAGTTGGTTTTTTTGCAAGAAAATTTTTTTTGGAGAGGCCCGGGCCGTAAAATTTTAATGTCTCCATGCCGTACTAGACCTTTTCGGGATGTTTTGATTTAAGTTATGCTATCTTTGAATTCATAAAACTATTCAGAAATCAAAAAAATAGGATAGGCTCCGATGCGACTAAGAGCTTTTATGAGGACTGACGGCGTTCAAGGCATTTTGCCGTTTCTACACAGGTAGCAGGTTTCAAGTTAGGCGGAGGTGGCATCCCTATTCGCCTACCTAACTTCAGGAAAAATTAATCTTCGAAAAAAATGGTTTTTAG